ACCTAATTTTGTTATTTTAAGAGCCATTTGAGTTGGGTTTGTGTGGCTAGGTTCTGATAGTAAGTGGGCTATAGGGTGAGTCTCTGAAAAGCTGCCAGAAGTTTCACACAGATCTAACAAGGACAATGCCAGCTGGCAGGTCCAGGATGGACCTGCCACTGGCCAAGGCTGAGGACATCAGAAATAGTGATACTGATTCTGTGAGAACATATTTAGGAAGGGGGGACAAAAAAAGAAATTTTTGCACAGAAGTAATTGCAGCCACAAAAGGGAGGAGTGAGAATATATAAGAGAAAGACTTGAACAAACCCTAAGGTCAGGAGAGGAGGAGGGTGCTTTTAGGATTTGTTTTACTTGCTATTGTCCTGTTCTGTTTTTGATTGGTTAAATTTCCCCATTTCAAAACTGTTTTGCACATGACAGTAAGTGAGCTCTCCCTGCATTTCATAGAGGTTTTGTTATATTTTCTCTCACCTGTCCAGCTGAAGATGGGAATGAGAGGGCAGCTTTGGTCAGCGCTTAGCATCCAGCCATGGTCAAAGCACTACAAAATTTATTAATTTCATTTCATTTAGTAAATAAAATAAGGAAAAAAATCAATTTTAAAATCAGCATTATTTTCTTGCAATTAAAAAGTCATTGTGTATTGACAAAAGTTTAAAGTAAGAGTTGGAGGGTTTTATTTCCGTAAGTGAAAGACTCAAAGTTGAATGAGTCTTTTATTATCTGTCATATGATTTTGATATCTCTGGGATGTTTGTGTAGTTTTTAAACACAATAAGTCATTATAAAACCTTTGGATATGTTATTCTGATTTTGGATTTTTTATGATCACTAATATAATCTTAGGATTTTCAGAAATCATGATTTATTTTATGAAGAAATTGAACATTAGTTCTACATAGTATCTGAAGCTTTATACTTGGAAACAAGAAAGTTATTGAAATTCAAGGATAAGGATTTTATTTTCTTTTATTTGACAGTAGAAACATATTTTCCCCCACCCCTCAATTGCCTTCTATTTAAATGCATTTTGTATGACACTTTTGAAAAGTACTCTGCATTCAGCTGTCTAGTTGAAACTGAAATGACATAATTTCATGTTACATTTTCACTGTACTATGTGTGACATTTTTGCACCAGAAATGAATCACCCTTGAAAACAAGGTAAGAATACTGGGAAAAAAAATATATATATTTCACCTTCACACAGGCTTCTTTCTTATAAAAGAAAGGAAAAGAATTTTTACCCATGTAAACCTGAGTTCTGTGTGTGGTCTAGAAATAAGTATCTTTTGTATGCAACCTCAATGTATAACACTTTCAAAGTATGAAATTACAACCAGATAGTAAAGCTTAGGTTATTCTCTTCTTTCAGCAGAAACTTATTTGTGCAATATGTATGGCTTCTATGCTCACCTTTGAAATTTTAGGGGTTCAAAAACTGCAAACATTTCTAGAATGAAAAGAAGCCTAAAAAGTAATGGGAAGAAGGGAATAGAAGGCACTTAGACTACTGTACCTCAGTACCAGTCCCTATGTAAATATTTGCTCTGTTTGCTTATTTCTATTTCTTTCTTCCTTATGATATTAAAAGGGACTGGTTACAATAAAGTAAATAAAAAAAGGAAAAAAAAATCCCGTGCTACCAGAAGCTACAGCCTCTTTCACATTCTCTTTCCTATAAACATGACATTTTTACTACACTGAAATGTTACCTCTCCTCTTCTGGTTCAGTTTGTCAGGGCATAATTAGCCAGGTGCAAAGAGACCCTGCCAGCAGAACTTAAGGATATAGCAATTATTAGCTGCCTACCATGCACAAAAGACTGATCATTCTTGTGCCCAAAGGTACCTAAAGATCATTCTTGGCCATACAGACATCAGTTGCTGAAATTATTCCTACTGCTGTTGAGTTGTATCATTCCCTATAGAGATATCTGTGGTAATATTTATGGCACAGGCCTGGAAGAGCATCAGCCACACAGCTAAACCCAAACTAGCCACCCCTGTTCTGTTTTGGTTTTCCTGCAGGACTATACATTTTTCCCGGGTGCTTCTGTCTGGAATCCTTGAGCTAATAAATGTCTATCTCTCTCAACACTCCTAAACTTACCCATAACTTTCCCTTTTTTATCCTTCTGCATTCTTTCCCATAGCTTTCTGTCACAGGTCTAACTTTTTTCATAAATGGGAACAAAAGTTATTCTGCAGAGCTACATCTGCACTGGCCCTTAAACCCTCTGTGGCACCCAGAATACTGAGCTTCAGAGGCAGGGGACTTAGAGCAGAGCTTGTAGAGACAGAGAGCGTTACTGTGCTAGACAGAAAACAGAAAGCATCCACTCTAGTAATGCACCTATGCACGTATTTTTGCATATGTGAAGAGCAGATACATTGGTACTTCCTCTGGGAAAGACTAAATGCACTCTGACTTAGACAAGTTTTCCTATTTCTTGTACAAATGCTAATGGTGATAGCACCAAGCTTCCATCTTACAAAGGCTTCAGGACTGCAGATGCATACTCTACTTTATGACAATACCTCTACTAGATTGCGTACCACTGCTCTAAGGGACCCGACCTTCAGCTGAATCTAGGGAAGTCTAAGGTGAAGGAAATTGTGTGTAAAAATTTAGAAGAGCAGTGTCCTCATTTTTCATTTACATCAACTGCTGTCACATATCCAAGACCTCAAAAAAATTATACTTAAACACCAGGGACCCAAATTAGATACCAGAGTGTGATAGGATCCTCTAGAGGATGATTCAGAGAATCTGCCTTAAATTATCACTTAGTAAATATAAATGTGGCATTTAAATATTTTTATTGCTTTGAATGGAAGGTCTACTGATTGTAAGGCAGAAAATACTTGAACTGCCTACCACCTTTCAACTTCAGATGTTCAGATTCATATTCTGGTTAGACCATACATTTTGCTCTTTTATTACCTTATCTTAGTCTGAGATTTAACAACTGCAGTGTTTGTAGTTACTTTTCTTGGATTTGGAGAGGGAAGAAGAAGAATGAAATGAAGGAGGATTTTGTATACAACAGTTATGTAGGTTCTACAAGTAAATCTGGCATGTTGTGTATTAATCCTACTGAAGATATACTAGTAATTATATAACTTGTTCTCATTTTTCTTTCATGTGTCTTTTGAGTTACCCTCTTTTCCTCAGGACTAGAAATTACAAGTGAATCTCGCACTGTGTTAATAACTTTGGCACTGTTTTCCTTCACAATCACCACATCCATGTGTGTCGTTCCCCGGGTCTCCCAGACCGCTCCGGATAGCTGCAGGTCCGGGACCTCGGGAACGGCACGATGGTCGTAGAGAGGAAGGACTTCCACCAGGCGGGTGCCTCTCAAAGGGCTTTATTTCTGAGGGCTTCGGTGAGGGAAGGCGAGGGTGGTAAAGGGACACAGCCACTCAGAGGGAGACCCAGCTCTGAGAGCCCCAAACCAGGGGCGGGGTAGGGTTTATAACAGTTACAGGGAAGGAGGGTCAGGGTACAGGACATCCAATCAGGTGAGGGGTTGAGGGTGGAGTCAACGGAGAGTGACATGGCAACGGCCAACCGGGATAGAGGGAAGGAGTGGTTTCAGGAGAGGAACCAATGGGGGTACAAAGAACTCAGAACTTTCTGGAACAAAGGACGGGGTACACAATGATTGACACGGATGGGGGGAAGGGGTGACAAATGATTGGCAACTGGGGAGGCGGGAAACTACACATTTGTGGCCTCCCATGGTAGAGCAGGGAGGTCACCAACCACACCCCCTCCCACATCCATGCATGAGAAAATAATAAAGAGAAGTACATAATTTTAAAAGTGTAAAAAGTTTCCTGACTCATGAAAATCCATATTTGTTTCAGCATCATTTCTTCCTCTTTAGAGATGTTTTTCCTTGCAGATGTAAAGTATGTTTCAAATACTACAAGAAACATGAGGCAAAATATGGCTGTTATGAATGGAAAAGGTATATTTTTGAATATAAATGAGGCAATTAATTGTTTTCTAATCACAAGCCCTCGTGAAAGAAGGAAAATCCTGTATTACACTGATACTAAAATCCTGTATTACACAGATAATAGATTTTTATGCATGAAGCTCTGTTCTGATGGATCGAAATTTCTGTCCGTCATATAGGGTCTATTGGGTCTATAGGGTCTATAGGGTCTATTTTCCAACCAGTACTAATTCTGTTCCATATACTTCTTCCAGTGCTGGTTCCACTGACTGCTTTAGTGAACATTGGTATTGTTTGAATAAGCATTTTAAATATTTATATATATATATATATATATATTTATAGATATATATTGAGTAATACAAAATATTGCCATGCTCCAAACAAAAATTATATATATACATATATATATATATACATATACATATGTATATATATATATATATATGGCAATATTTTGTATTACTAAAAAATTTCTCAAGAGGATCCATGTTCTAAGATTGAAAATCACTTTTCACTTCCCTCAGCTTCCAGAAGATTAAGAAAAGGGGATTCACATAGCTTACAGGCTTCCTCTTCTTTTGACACTTCAGTTCAGTAATATGTATTGTTATACATATTACATATATATTTATATGTAAATATAGAATATATTTTGATGCTGCAGTACATTCTTCACATCCGTATCTTCATATACCCTAAGGAATTTAAAGTCCTCTTTCACATTTCTAGTGCTTTTCCCACCAATCTAATTTTATAAACCTATTCACTAATCTTCTTTGCTCCATTTTTATTTGGTACATGTTCCCTCATGTGATCCTTTCTCCTTCATAATACTCCTGTAAGGCATAAATTACATCAGACATTAACAGTCATTTTTCAATAGTTCATCCAAGTTTTCTAATTACTTCTATCCTAATATGCCCTCAAGTCATTGGGGGGTTTAGAAATTGTTTTTTGTAAACTTTGCATTTTTAATTACGAATTTTATTTAATTTTGATGGATAAATGAAGACAAGAAATATAGGCTTTTCCACTTTTTTTGTTGTTTTGGGGTTTTTTGGCAATAGTACAAGTACATCACAAGTAACAAGACAAAGAATCCATGGTATTAACTTTTAAGAAGCACAAGGTGCAAAACTATGGTAGATATATTCCACAACAGCATTGTTTCTGGTTTCATAATTTTCACAACAATTTTGTGCTTTCCTGGAGTTGAACACTGTCTAGGAGAACAAATATAAACTTCAGACTTTTAAAAAATATATTTATAAAGTCCTTCTCTGAAAAAATATGCAAAGATTATAGTATTTTAGGTAGGCACAAAGCATATTTGCAAAATAAAATTCTTGCAGAAACATGTAATAAAAATAGTTCAAAATTTTCAGGACTAAGAAACTTTGCAACTGATTCATAATTGGAGGGTTTCACTGAACTTGGTATGACATTTTCAATTTCATCCCAAATTTGTTGCAACTTTATTTCAATACATTCAAGTGGAATGTTTGCTACATCTCTTAATAAATACATATCACTAGTACACATGTACAATCAGTTAGAAAACTTGTTGTCTGTGTAATATAATCCTGTTCTGTATTCATTGCATGAGTATTTATAACCAAAACTAGAACTGCCAAAAAGGATTTCACAGTGCTGCAAAGGGCATCATGAATTATTTACAGTAAATCAAATTTTATAACCCTTCTCAATCTTTCATAAACTGTATCTTTGCATTTTATTTGATATTTTATCCAGAGACTTAAAGTCTCATAAGTCAAGGAAATCTCTTAAATTCCTGAGAGATTTGTAGGAGTATATGAAGAAACAGTTATTATGGTACCTACTGCATTTGATGTAGCTGTAAGACTATTGATATCCTGTAAGCTTTCAATATTTTAGAGAAAAGGATCAAGATTTTCTGAAATGCTCAACATCCTCAGCATTCTTTTATTCATTTTATTCATGAATTAGGGCTACTGGAAGTTGTTTGGAACTGTTAAAAACTTTTCTCAAACTCAGTCTTTGACTTGGGCTTATCATCCTCAGTTTTGCAGAGAGCCAAATTTACAATAACTCTTTAAGTGTATGAGAGTCAAAATGTAGGTTATAGATGAGGAATGAGAACATGTACTCAAAAGTGCTACTGGACACTGGAAGAAAGAGGAAAGCTCAAAGAGGAGATTCAAGAAGTAGATCCTTGAGCATCATCTTTGCAAATAAGTTCCTAGAGAGTCTTATTGATGGAGTTAACTTCAGGGAACATCAGTATGTGACTTCATTGCAACTGCAGATGTAGTCCAGAGGTTAGGGTGTTGGGTTTGGCAGCCAAGGACATAACAAGGAAAATGCAGTCCCTGGAAGGAGAAATTACATTTAAGAAAGCAGGAAGTCATTTGTCTGAACTTTCTGTTCTCTTAGGACACATTTGGCTACTTCAACAAGCACAGTTACAGGAACTAGTGTGAATTAGCGAACCACAGAATTAGTGTGTTACTCAACCTGTCAATGTTCAAGAAGCATCTAGACAATGCTTAATCATACACTTTTGTGTAAGGCACTTCTATGAGAAGCATGGATTTAGACTCAATTATCCTTATGGGACTCTTTCACCCTGATACATTCCATGATTCTATGACCAAAAATTACCTCTGAGTTATAAATACACTCATAAAACGCCCATACATTTACACTATCATCAGGAAAAGGGAATATAAAGAAGCCACAGGAAAGCTGATAGCCAAGTATTTTATTGACAAAAGAGCATGAAGAAGCAATTGTTTCCTTCTGTCTCTGACTGAGAGCTGTAAGAGACTATTTTCAAGATGTGCCCCACAAATGTTTTCATCTTCACATCCCTACAGGTTCCTCTTTGCTCAGAGCCAATTAAGCTTCCCACTTAACAAGGCACATCCTGGAGTTATTGTATCTGCAATGATTCCCATGGTTTTCTGAAGAGAATTTAATGCCAAAAATTACAGAGTATTTGTTACTTTGCCTTCCACCACATTTAATACCTGCATTTTATGTTTTATTTGTTTAAATCTGTTTTCCCACACACATATAAATATATTCTTTTAGGAAATACAAAATAATGTGAGATTTAAAAAAAATTCTGTCATATTATTTTTCTATATCTTATTTGAAATTGATGAGTCCTATAACCTCTTGATAGCTCCTGAAATTAATAATGTATGAGAAATTACTTACATGTGACACACATGACAAAACATTCAGCAAAGACAAATGCTTGCATGGAAAGTTACTAAGAGTTTATGTTGCAATGATAATCAGATTAGGTTTGTACTCATACTTTCAATATTTAGTTATAAAACAGAGTCAATTTTATAAAATTGTCTATGCATGCTTGCATTTAAGGTTTTGCTGAGTGTTTAATTTTACTCTTTCATTTTTTTGAACAGAATTTGAAGATGACAATCTTACATACTGTAACATATAGGATTAGGAAATAATATGGGGCACTTCTAAATTATTTTATGAAAAATATTATTGAACTTACAGATATTGGATGATGAAATGTCCTAACTGCTCATACAGAAACATATACTCTTCTGCTAATACACTTTTTGGGTTAATTACGTTCTTTCTGAAATTAATTGTTATTTTTGCAGGGATCACAGCAAAAGACTGTAAGCCTTTACCCAAAAATTGTTGGAATTTGCTCAAATGCTTATTATCTCAAAGGTCACCTGAGAATGTAATGTATATTACGTTTAAGTAATAATTTTACATTCTCATTTTCCCTGAAAAATACAGGAGAAAGGATTCCAGGGCAAATTATGGCATATGTGACATTGTCAAAATTTCTCACACCCACCTTACTACAACCTCCTTTCAGGTGATTGCAGAGAACATTATGGTCCCCTCTGGGCCTCCTTTTCCTCATTTCCTTCAGCCACTCTATGACTTGGGCTCCAGACTCTTCACCAGCCTTCTCTGAAAACCCTTCTCTCCAGCACCTCAATATCTTTTCTGTAGTGAGGGGTGTGAAAGATTGAAATAATTGATTAATGACTCAAAAAAAAAAAAAATCACCTAAAATAAGAGGCAGATACTGGGAGGTGGGATAGTGCTTTTTATCATACCAGTTGTCCTCCCTTACACCCCCATCCCTCCTTGAGGAGGGACATATTCACACACAGGCATGAGGGTTTTCATCCCTTCACACAGGATATGTTCAGCTACGCTCTCAAGAGAGGCAATTGTCATGTCTTAGACAATGTCATAAGCCATCAAAGATGCCCAAAGAGCCCCTAGACTCATTTCTGAGATCTTCCACCAGAGGACTGAAAGCTCTTCCTGGGTGTTCCCACTCAGTTGGAACATTTATTAACCCATTGATCTTTGGATTTCATGGCCTTTCACCCACCCTCAATGGCTCAAGACTGCGACCGTCACTTCAAAAAACAGACATCTAAATAAACAATCAAGCCTCCTCAGGAGAGTGATAGGTGGTCTTAATACCACTACCTTTCCCTGCCTCCCTCGCTTCCACATTTTCTTAAGTAATATATTTATTCTTTCACATTGCTGAATTGCTGTAGATGATAATAATAATCAAAATGGTCACTTACCTGCCTTCTGGGGCAGGTCATAACAAGGTGCTCCAAAAACTGAACACGCAGGACTTGAGGTGTGGCCTCACCAGTGATGAACACAGGGGTACAAATACTATCCTGGTCCTGCTGGCCATGCCATTACTGACACGAGCCAATATGCCACTGGCCTTCTTGGCCACTTGGGCCCACGCTGGCTCATGTTCAGGCGGCTGTCAGCCAGCAGCTCCAGGTTGTTTTCCAGCCATTCTTTTTCCAGTCTGCAGCACTGCATGTGGTTGTTGTGACCCACGTGCAGGACTCAGCAGCCTGCCTTGTGGAACTTCATACATTTGGGTGGAGCCCACAGATCCAGCCTCTCCAGATCCTTCCGCAGGTCCTTCCTACCCATAAGAAGACCAAAACTCCTTTCCAGCTAAGGGTTGTCTGCAAACTTACTGCAAGTACTCTCAATTCTCTTGCCCAGATAATTTATGAAGATATGTAGCAGGACTGGCTTCAGTACTGAGCCCTGAAAAACACTGCTTGTGACCAGTTACCAGCTGGATTTAATTCCATTCACCGCTACCCTGTGGGCCTGGCCTAGTTTTTAGCTAAGGAACAGTGCACCCATCCAAGCTACGAGCAGCCAGTTTTTCTAGGAGAATTCTGTGGGAAAACGTTGCTAAAGTCTTTACTAAAGAAGAAATTTTCCTATGAGTTCCACAAGCCACACAATATGCTAATAAAAATAGAATGGAGCTATTTCTTTGTTGTTTTGCTTAATTTTAGTCATAGAACCCAGTATAAATTACAAATTGTTCAATAAACAATTATCAAAGATTTAAAAAGTGTTTTGCAATTTTGGTTTGTTTAGCAATTTTGATTTTCATTTATACTTCAGATAATATGGCATAATTAACATGTTAATGAGAAAAGTAATTTGCTTTGGTTAGTTATATCTTTACACTTAACAACTTAAGAGAAATATCTTTGGAGAGACACATTCATCAATAACAGATTTACAATTTTATTTAACATAAAGAAATTGCTTGAGCCAGTCATTTGTGTGATTGAAAAGACAAACAGTTTGGCTGCTAGAAGTTTTATGTCACATATATTTCAGCAATGAAGTAGCAGGGAAATATCTGCTTTAGACTTGACTCTCATTTGAATGAAAAAGATGCTAAATGGTTGTAATTTGAGATTGACTGTAAATGAACAGTAATGTTCTTGAGTACCTCACTTGACATACTTTGTTTACAGTGTTCCCTTAAAAATGCTGAATAATTGCCATGGAAATAAAACATAAATAATTTTCACAAGAAAACAAAAAAACCCCATTAATTTTCATTTATTAATTGTTTTGTATTTGAGTAACCGTTGCATTTTTGTGCACAAAGATACTTTCAGAACACAATGATAGTATGTGACATTCTACTGTTAGGAAGGATTGTCAATTACTGAAATTTTTGTGGTGCTTCTATTTCTGTATCACAGAATGGAGTGCTAACATTCATCAATTTCACCTATGTGCAACTGGAAACATGCTTTTAAAATACATTATTCAAGCATCTTAGGAAAAATAGTCAGGCATTGATTCTACTGAAGAGCATTAAAGGCTGCACCACACAGAAATATAACACAGAGAAAATAAATTATGTTAGAAACTTTGAATGGTGCTAAATGAAAAATTGGCAAAATCTTATCATCGATTGAAATAATAAAAAGGGTAGAATATATACATATATAACAATTTATGAAGTCAAAATTCAACTTCTTATTAAGAGCAAGATTTTGGAATTGTTTTATGTGTTCCCCACAAGACAGTGAAACAAATAAAGTAGATCTCCAGGGATAAAGATTAGTTCAATATTTCATAAGAGATTCTGCACTTTTACAGAATCTTGCCTGAATCACTGAAGGATTGAGTAGAGAGAGATGTTAAACAGTTCAGGATAAAGTCTAGTTCTGCACTGAATAAGTGCATTTACACAAATACAGGTTCTACTACTATGTGTATGTATTGCTTTTATCCATTTAGTACTTTCAGAATATTATGAAGTGATACCAATAGATTTTTAAAATTCTGAAGTTGTTAGAATATTAAAATACTAAGACTTTCAGTAGAGTTTTAAGTCTCCACATCTGCTTTAAAAGTTATCTGTACAATACAGTGCACTCCAGGATCCTGGCTTTTTTTTTTGTCAGCCCAGTGATTCCTAATAAATAAACTCTGCATTCAAGAACTTGTCTTCAGGAACTGTAGGAGGGGTAGCTGAAAATCTTATCTCACTCTGATATCCAGAGAGAGAAACAGCAAAGTATCAAAGCACTAATTTGTAGTGATTGATCTAGAACTTAATTATAAAAGGAAAATTATAAAAGAAAATATTTCACTGCAATTTCTTGTTCTATCAGTTGCAATACAGTCTTGTATGAATCAAGTATAATATTTTAACATCTGAGTGGAATACATAAGACCTTTGTTGTGTGATTCAAACAATATAAACCATGTTGACATAGTGTCACTAGATTTTAGGAAAAGAGAGACCATAAAATAGAGATTTGATGAAGAATAACAGTCAAAAATTCTTAGACAAGCCAAATAAACATTCTGGTCATTGTTAATTTAACTCACATCATAGTTTCCTTCAGAAGGCTTCCCAATTCTCTTTATTTTGACACCTGTTCCTTTGCAGTTCTTTGTATGTGGCAGAGACAAACAATCATGAAAGCAATCATGCTGTGCAGCAAAATTTCTGCCTCTGTCAGCTCATTTGTGGTGGCTGGTACTTAGTTGCAAATTCTTCCCTGTAAATTTAGTTATTGTTTAATACTCATTTTTCCATTTAACATTTTAAAATATATTTTAGCTCAAAATTTTCAATTTATTGCATGGAGAAGCATGAATTTGTATCAAAATTGCCAGTTTGGGAGAATCAGATTTAGAGAATATTATACAGTCTGTAAATAAATTCAGAAAGTTAATTTTAAAAGGCCCTGAAGTTGTTCTGACACATTGTAGGTAATATAATTATTAGCTTAGGTTTCATATAAGGGAATAGAATCTAATTTTCACTTCACCAAATAGCTCACACAGAAAACAAATGATTTTTTTTTTAATTTTTGAAACACTTTTTATGAACGCATATTAGATTTATCATTTAATGCTGTCTTAATCGATCAGAGCAACAGTCTTTCAGAATAAAAAATTCACTAGCACAGATTGGACATTATCAAGACGTTTTATTGAAGAAATTGTTTGGTTAAGAAATCAAATAATGTCATAGTTTTAGAGAACAAAGAAATTACTTCCACAATCAGATTATCTTGGTAGAATGAAAGAAGGAAGAAAATATACTCAAGTAGTGTTTTTCATTCAAAATTTTCTTTATTTAATTTCTTAAGAATTCCAAGATACAATTATTTTCTTAGATTGAAATATTCTTTCACATTTGACTCCTCATATCTTAATTATTGCAACATGGTATAGTGTATATACCATTTTTCTTAATATCTAGATTTTAAAATATAACACTAAAAACATACTTTCTTTGCATAGTAATTTCATTTTATCAACTTTTTTTTTTGTTTGATAATTCAATAATTCAATGACAGAATTTTTTCTAAATTTGCGTGGTGCATCAACCACTTCTCTAGGAAGCCTTTTCCAGTGTTTGACCACCCTCTTGGTAAGGAAATGCTTCCTAATGTCCAGTTTGAATCTCCCCCAGCACAGTTTTGAACTATTCCCACCTGTCTTATCGCTGGAACCCAGAGACTCCATTCCCCCCCACCTCAGGAATGTGTAGAAAGCAATGAGGATGTTCCTCAGCCTCCTTTCCAGCAAACTAGACAAGCCTCAAGTTCTTGCCTTCTCCTCACAGGACATTCCTTTCAGCCCTTTTATCAGCTTTTACAGTAGTCAATAACATGGTAATCAAGTAAGTCAATTAGGTATTTCAAATAATATTTCTGGATGGTCTTAATAGTTAAACATAAATTCACAGTTTTTTCTGTGACAACTATAGGACCTGCATAACTAGTTGACTAGTCCAGTTTACTCTTTTTTAGTCCTGCTTTTTCAGCACTTAGGAATAATCTGTTTTAGTAATAAAACAGACACACAAATTAGCAGCAGATCACAAATTGTATGATAGCCTCACATAGTGATCTCAGCTGGAACCTTTACATGATAATAAAATTGCCCAACTAATCCAGGAGTGTCAGGTTAAGTTATTCAGTGAGAACTACAACACACAGATGAGGTCACAGCAAGGTTGAAATTTGATTTTTACTAAACTACATTTATCTCCTTGAGATTCCAGAGCTGCATATGAATATTCATATCCTTGAAGACTTCAGCTGCATTAACAATGCACAAATCTGTATTAAAGATGTAGACCACAAGTAGTAGACAGTGATTTTAAAAGAGCTAGCAAGTAAGAGATAAATGAGTGACAGAAACATCAGAACAAATGGAAAGGAGCAGGGAGTATGCAGAAGACTTAAAAATAATAGTAGAAGAATCCCTTTGTTTTTTATTTTTAAGAAGTAATATTGTTTTCTCTGGAAAACATTAAAAAAAATAATACATCCCCAAAATAATGGGACTAACATTGGAGTTAACTCTCCTCTTTGAAAGACTGCTATTATGAATAGCCAATGGAATTCTTTACTGTTTAGTCTTTTGGGCACTGAGGTGGAGGTGCAAAGTTTTCAGTAAACATTAGCACAGCTCTGATAATGGACCAAAATGGTAGAACTGTGCTGTCAGGCTACAAGAGTGCTTTGGGATGGTGCCCTAGTATAATTATGTCCAAGTGCACATCTATGCACACAGCAGCCAATAACACCCGTTCCCTGCAGCTCTATTTTAGAGGACTCCCTAAGCTGATTTGAGGAATTAATCAAAGATTTGGATTTGTAAATACCATGGCACATCCCTGTACTGAAGTAGATCCTATATACAGAAGAAGTGTTTTAGCAAATGGTGACACATGAATGAGGACTATTTTAACTCCTCTTTTCTACAGATTACTACAGCTACATGATAATCACTGAGTTTTACCATCACTAAATGCGTACCTCTGGATATGGTATGAAAACAAAGCTTATTCTTTCCTATTTATTTTTTTCTGGCATATTTGATGTGCGAATGTTTTGAAAAGTGCCTGAAAACTGCATAAAAATTTTCATGAAGTCTGTAAATATCTTGTGAACAAATCAATTGTTATGGAACAAATTTTAATTTTTTAAATTATTAAATTAAATCTAAGTTGTACAGACTGTTAAGTAGTCCTTCCTGTGCCTTTTCCTTATAGACCTCACCTCACATACACATGAAAAACAAACCCCAAAATAAACAAAAAAATTGACAGCTATTTTTCATTTAAAACACAAACTAAGTCAACAGATCAAATTCAGACTAAGAATAGAACTGACATAAAAGAACTTATAAAGAAATTTATCTCTTTGTGTTACACTGGAAGTCAGTCTGTGTTTCTGCTCTTAGAATACAGTTCTGGCAAATGCTAAGACATTTTTCTTGCTCTTTCTCTTTTTGCTTGGTATCACCCTGTCCTGTAGCATTTTATCCCACTAAGCATAAAATTTCTCTGAACTGCTTTATCACAAAAAATGTTGCTACTACCATTGCAGCAAACCACACAAGTATAAAAGGGACTTGAGGACTTTCTCCTCAAGTAAATGCCTTTTAAAATGGTGATAGCAGGCAGTACATATCCTTAAAATATGTAGGAACCATCTGTTGATGCTGTAGACACAGTGGAAACTTTCACAACTACATATTAGTTTTGGAAGTGAAAATATGACTTACATTTGCATGTGTAAGCCTTAGATAAAGCCATGATAGTACAGAAGTAGTCAGCTCTTTGAACTTATTAAGAAAATATCTGCCACTTTTTATACCAAAATTAACCCAGTAAGAACCTGACATTCACATCTCTGGAAATACCAAGATTTGCATATTTATTGATAATATGCATATTTTCTGTAACGTATTCCTGAAGACTATAAACTGTCTGCAAAGGCACTCTTCTCCTGAATATATGTGAGACTGTGGAAAGAGATGCTGGGAATGGAAAGAGACTGCAGTGAGAATATGTGCAAGTAATATATGATGCTTAGCTCTAAGCAAAAGGACCATTTTTAGCAGGCTAAATAGTTTTACTTGGCCTAAGCAATGAGTGGTGCCTTAAATCTGTAGTTTTATGCAAACATGCACAGTTCATCTGATTCCAAATGACTTGTTTTGGCACTAAAGACTAGGAATAATGAATAACACCCAGGCTGGCTAAATATTAGCCTCATGTGAGTCCTTGGCAGATACATTTTTTTCTGTTGTCACTTATGAGGTTGTGTATGCTAAGAGGCAGCTGAGGGGAAGGGAAGGGATGCATTATCCTTTCCTTAAGTTAAGAAAACTAAAATTTTTTGTTTAATAAATTTTTGTATCCTTCAGCTCAAAGGTTGGGTTTTTTGTTCAAAGCTTGTGTTCTTGGTAGATTCAACTCATGCTTCTTGTATTGAATAACATAATACAATATAAAAAAAACCCCTAAAACTAAAACTAAACAAATGCACTTTCAAATTTTTAAGGACTTGGCCATTCCTGAAAAGATCTTTGTTAATGCTTTATTAATATATTAGCTTCTTCAGCAGAATAAATAGTAAAGTACATTTAATAAGGGAAATGTTGACACTGATGATACTATTTCATTAAATCTTAAACAATGCTTTATTGTTTTCCATAAAAAACCACAGTTTTGACCTCCTACGTATTCTTTTAAAAATTTAGATGTTAATTAAACAACATGTGGAAAATACTCAAAGACGTTATTTTACAGAAGCTTGGAGGAAGCCCAGTAAACCCATTTCAGTCTAAAGCACCATCCAGGGAACTGAAGCAAGTGTGTGTCAGGATGTTTAATATTATAGCCTAGGGGGACATAACACTTGCTATATGTGGGAAGTAAACAGCAGGAACTTTCACTAAAAAATGAGACAGAGGACAAACTTGTGATCACAGAACAGAAAACCATACTGCCAATCCAATACAAATGTAAGAGCTTCTCCACAGCCCAAGCTGTGCCTTTCCCAACTAAATTCTCACATTATCCTTTGTGAAACTTATTTTTGTTGCAGAGATGGGAAGAACTGAAAAAACCAAAAAATATTGTTATTTTTCCAGAGAGTCTTTTCATGGAAAACTCTTGCCATGTTTTTCACTTTGACTGAAACAACAGATGATTATCTGACTTATCCTCTACTGTAGTACTTAAATTAACAAAGCAGAAAATAGAAAGCTTCAAAAGTTCAAGCCCTCTTCACAAATATAAATCAAAAATACAGCATTAGTTGCAGGGTTTTTCAATGATTCCTACCTTAAGAAAAGAGAAGTTTTTCAGATGTGATTTATGGGTATCATCAAATTATATTTATGACTATTTGTTATTTTTTTATTTAATTTTTATATTACCTTATGATTTAACCCTGCAAAAGTGTGGTATCCTCCCACTTGAAACTTACATTACAAACTAGGTGTAATGTTCTTCTTTTTGGTTAATAATGATAAATTTTTAGGTCTGCATTTTATTGGGTTGTTTTTTTACTGTCGTTTTGTTAGTTTTGTTTGTTTCTTTGAAGGGCTTGGGGTTTTTGTTTGTTTGTTTTAGTTTTTTCATTGTACTTAAAGCCAAGGAAGTACCGAAGGAAAAAGACTGGGATAGAAATGCAGCCTGTAAATGCACACCCTTAAGTGTGCTTTACATTCTTGGAAAAGCATTTTAAAATGTCCTTAGTATAAAACTGTTGGGTAACCATCCTTAGTGTAATACTGTTGGATGACTTTATGTCAGGACTAAGTTAGAGGGTGTCCTGGGGTGACTTTATGATGCTGAATTGTATCCCCATTCATTTGTTTAGCCCAGAAATAAGTTTTGCACCTTTAAGACTGGTTCCGAGAGTGAAGGGGGAGAGAAGAAGCAGCAGGTCGCTTTCAGAAGCTGCGCTCACTCCTCTGCATTCTGGCTCCTGGACTGTGCTGTCTGCAGCACGGACAGTGGGACAGAGCTCTCCTTTGCTTTTAGTTAGGTTTTTGCTAGCTGAGGCAGAGAAGTTCCCTGGACTGTGGCTTTTTTCTTTTTCTTAGAACAGTTCAAACATGCTTTGGACTGAAAACCCAGAAAAAATCGGGAGCTCACATCTGTGGCACACTGGGGCCCAGGACACAGCAATTTCCAGCACAGAAAGGACTGATAAGAAACTGAGCAAGCTGAGCTGCAGCCCATGACAAGGACTTTCTAAATTTGCCATCTCTTCAGAACAAAGAGAGGTTCCATTGTTTAATATTATTCATTTTTTATGCTCATGAATAATTTACTTCTTAAATAAACAGGGTTTTTTTTCACTTTTCTCCAAGGAAATCTTTTCCTGAACCAGTAGGGGAGGGGCCACATGAATCTGCTTTCTAGAGGGACCACTTTTGGAGTTTTCACCCAAATTTGCCCTAAACTAGTTCAGGGGGCTTGTTAAAAAATATTTTTAGACTTTTAAATTCATCCTCTCCTCTGGATATTAGATTCTTTGCCAAGAGTTCAAAACATTGTTGTGATAGTTCCTCTCTTGCAGGTAACAGACTCCCTTTCTGAATCTAGCCTGCCTGTAATGGACATAACAATCCAGCTCATAACATATAGGACTAAATAAAAAACATTACTTTAATGCTTATTAAATTCCCACTACAATCTGAGGAGAAAATTTCGGTTCCAGTAAAGGCTACCTTCCCATATGGGTGACAGAAAACTCAAGTCAATAAAAATAAATAAGTAAATGAAAGCGAGTTCCATAATTGATACTTTTCAAGTCATAATTCAATATCTAAACAATACTTGTTGCAGCAGCATCTGGCACTATGAAATTGCTAAGTTCTATGACATTTATTTCCATCTAATAATTCGACTGAAAGGTTACATTGACTTGAAGTAGTAGAAAGAGCTGTGCTCATGGTAAAAACATTAGAGGAGGTTTTTTTTTTTCTCCCCAGATATTCACTGGCAATCACAATAGGCAGTTTCACTTGCCTTGTGAAACTCTTCCAGCTTCCCTAAAAATCATTCATTTTAATGAGCTGGATTTATTCTCCTTGTTTACTCTTTGTCTTTATTGTGATGGATGTTTCTTTGTCTTTCAACTAAGCAGTATAGGAAACTATGTTAGTGTGTAGACTCCCCACTCTATTACTACTGCTTTGATCACAAAGTTTCGACTAATGATGCCAAATACGACACTGTGGATTAGTGTCTGGCTGCACCGAATTGCTTCATTTAGTGTAGGCAGCATAGAATGCTACCAGAATAAATCTAGGATCATTAGTCCAATTGCACTGTAGTAATAACTTTTCAGGCAAGGAACTGGATGTGTCTGCAATCTGAATTAAATGAGCTCCACAGTCTTTAAAACACCAGGCAATACAAATGAATACACTTTAAAACTGTGATTTTGTTGATATGTCCACACTTATATGTGAAGACTGGAAATAACATTCAAAGGTTTTTTGGCTTTCTTCTCCTAATCATGGTATTGTCATATTATTTTCCATATTACTTCAATAGCTGCAGAAAGATTTTTCATCAGAACAGGAACCAAACAAGGGAAGAAATGCTGTGTAGGCTAATTAATGAAAAGAGAAAGTGAACAAGCTAAAGGCTTATCACTGATTAAAAACATAAAGGCCTGCAAAGTTTGTATATATATATATATATATATATATATATATATATACACACACACATATACATATATACTTTGTACATTTTATATGCATACCTAATAATCCTTTTTGTGTAACTGAATTGAAAAACAAGAATTTAGCTGCGGTAATGTATTGTGAAATGTCTGACCTCCTAAATGGGTTCAAGTGTAACTTACTGTTTCCCATCACAAGGTCACTGCTGTATTTAAGAGCGTTGAAAAAAAAGATAATTGATTGAGCTGATCTATGTTCCTTGCTCATCTCACTATGCCTATTTCTCATCTGCCCTGGGTTAATCACCAAGTCCACAGCCTGCTGATGTCCTCCATTACATCATAATTAGAATAAGCAGGCAGAGATGGGGAAAGCTGGTGAAATTATTCATATTTTATTCTGAAGAGCCAGATGTTGCTGGATAGATTTCATTTAATTTTATGATAGTTGCAATAGTAGTCTCCATGTGCAGAAGATGATAGTGGCATCGATAACAAGGAAAGTGAGCTGTGCTTCTTAGCTAGTTAGTAATGGTTATTCATTTTTGGGGATAATGTCATGCAATTTGCCAATTATAGCAGACTGGGGATGGATTTAACACATACATATGAAAAATACTTAAAATGTAATTTCATAAAATCTGAATTATATTCTTTAATGTAAAAGCTTTGTCGTGTGCATCTTATGGATAGTAACAGGTTAGATTTTTTTTTTTTGGACAAAAATTTCCTATTTGGTAACATTACCTAAGAGACAATATGTACTGAATTTCTATATCATATTGGTAAAGCTGAGACATTGTTTCTGTTCAATGCTTATGCTTTTAAAACTCATACTGACTGTGAGGAATATCAAGATATTTAGAAGAAGATCAAATTTTATAAAATGTATTTGCATTTTGCATTAACAAAAGTCAATAGTTAACTTTCAGAGATAATAAAATAAATATAACAAAACATGGAATGACTGAATGAAATTTTTACCTTTGAGGGTGGCACAGCAGGTAAAATACATTATCTTGTATTTGCATCCTATTATTTTACAATTAATTTGAATGTGTATTGTAAAATATTTTTTTCATGATTTAACGTTAGGAAACTCTGCCTAATATTCACATATTGCAAAAATTGTTACTTACATTCAAATGGAAATAGTGACAGGAAAATAAAAACATCCAGCAGAATGTCCTCGTCCTGAAAAAATTCATAAAAATTTGCTCTGGGAATATCCCATTGTGGCCTTCCAGTATTTTACCGGGGTTTGCAAAGGAAGCAGACAGAATATTTCTGCTGGCAGATAGGGACAGGACAAGAGGCAATGGTTTGAAACTGAAAGAGGGCTGGTGTAGATGAGATGTTAGAAGGAAAACCTTTACTGTGAGGTAAAGGTACTGGGTGAGGGTGCTGAGGTACTGGAACAGGTTGCCTTGTGAAGTTGTAAATATCTTGTCCCTGAAAGTGTTTGAGGCCAAGTTGAATGGGACTCCGAGTGATCTGGTCTAGTGGAAGGTGTCCCTGCCTATGGCACAGGTGATGGAACGAGATGATCCTTAAGGTCCCTTCCAACACAAGCATTTCTGAGATTCTGTGACTAGCTCTGGTGCAATTATCTCGTGTAATCATATCACTTCTATTACTCCTAGTGACTTTTCCTCAATTTATTCACATTAACATTTCAGCATACAAATATCAGTTGCTGAAAGGAGAAAAAAAAAAAAAAAAACAACAAAAAAACCCCCTAGGAAATAGAGTTTTCATTCAAGTATCTTTTCACAGACCTGCTTCACTTGTCACTTCTGTTGCTTTACTTTTTATTAACTGATTTCTGTCCAGATGTGTACTATATTCAAGTGTAAATAAAGCTGTGACCCTGACTTTCATATCATTCTGTACATTCTTAATTCAGATCACAGTGTTAGCTGCTACCACCTGACCACCTGTGAGAAGGTCCTCTTTTGAGTCCTCAATAATAAATTAATTTTACAATGCTATCTCATGGCCTTGGTAAAACAAGGCACATTGTACTAGAGTCTGACAGCATAAGGCAGTGTAGAATATAACCAAAATACATTTTCTAGTCACACTGCTAAAATTAATGACCAGGTGATTTCTCAGAATGCACACTGCACAAAATCAATACGAAAATTCTGCTGAATAAACAGTTTTTTTGTGATCAATACAAGACTTCTTCAACTATTTAAATACTTGGTATGCCTATGTAAAGGAATTGCTGATTATTTGTTGTGGAAGATATTAAATATTTTATTCATATTTGTTATTTCCACCACAAGCACAAATGTGCAAATCAATTTAATAAAAAAAATATAGTTAGATTATGATATAAATTCTGACATAATTCTCATGTACTATGTCCAGGAAACTTGGTAGCTAATCAAAAGTATCTCTTGAAGAATGAGGTCAGAGAAATCTTCATGAAGATGAAACTTTGATTACCAATTGATGCTATCTTAATGAAGACAGATAACAGATCACCTTGAGAGATATTGTAGATACTACCCACGCAAATATTTGAAACAACAACAACAAAAAAGCATAATTTCTTTGCATATCTGATGTGTCCTGTCAAACAAACAGGGACAAAAAGATAGAAGATTATGTTATCAATATGTGTGCAGATAATTTTTCACTGTGCTACAGAGTGGTGTTTCAGTCACTAGTAATCCCTTCAGGGGTAGTGTTCTTCCCTATTATCACTAGACTTTTATACAATTTTATTTCAAATGTTTCTGTGTTTTATCTGATTATCAAATTATAAACAGGACTTTTTGCATTGACCAGGAAATTACAGCAGTCTCTTTCTAGGCTATCCATTTTGCACACACAAGACCATGGCAAGGGAATGCTGAGCCGTTTGATGATCAATCAAGTCAACAATAAGAGTCAAAAAACCAGCTGAGTTGGATACCATATTTTAAAAAATACCAAAACTTTTATGTGAAGAGGTTGCCATTTATCCAATCTGCAGATGTGCATATAAATTGTTTATGCTCAGTTGAAATTTTATATGGGATAATATTATAATAACTAGAAATATATCTGTGTTGAAATACTTCTGCTAGAATGTCAAAACTTTGCATATAGATACGTATTTTGATGTTATATAACTTTCCATTCATTCAAGCACAGATAACACGACAGGTAGTCATTACATATCAGAAGTACTATAAAAGTTTAAAATGTGGAGAAATTATCCACAATACAAAGCATGAGACTGGTTTTTTTAAGCATAGATGCATGTTAAATCTGTTCTCACTCTAAAATAATTACAAGTAGAAACAAGAATACTACAGGTAATTATATATATATATATATATTTATCTAAAGAAAAAACTTTTTTTATGCTATGTGGAACTAAGTGGATCTAGTGATACATTCTTTTTCAGTTGATACTCACTGGAATGTAATGCTGGTTTAAGTGCAAATCATAGATTTTATTATTATAATTCAATATTTGCATGTTTATGCAAGTAAAAACAAACTCCTCCAATTGTTTTAATTTTTCATATCACATTTTCACTTACACAAAACAGCGAAAATGTTAAAAATTCAGAAGGCACAGCTAAAATGATAAAATTTTGGAGAACCCTTAAGAAAAACTAGGATAGCAAGGTCCATTCAAAGAGAGAGTAAAACTCAATAGGACCAGAGAAGGCTTTCATAGCATCTAAGGAACAAAAATGATCAGTTTTTAGAGAGGATAGAAGAAAAGTCAACAAACTCTACAATTAAAATGTTTAGGTTTGAACTGCAGGAAAAATTTTAGTGGTCAAACTTTGCAAAATAGCACTTTATGACTTTAGCACTGAACCCAATAATTCTATAATGTAAGAAGTAGGATTATGTCTCAATAATTTTAAAACAGTAAAAATATATCTTATTCCTATGTGTTTAGTGTTTGTGACTGATGAAGGTAAACAGTGTTGACAATACTCATAATTTGACTAGTAATTTATTTGGACAAAATAAAATAGATAACAATTACAACTGAATAAAAAAATAGGAAAAACAAATCTATTTAGCCCCTGAAAAAGTTGTTCCTAAATTAAATACCTTAACATCTTTTTCAAAGTTACTATTTGCCTTCTACTCCAGGCAGGGCTCCATGTACTCATTCCATCTGCTCAGTTGCTATCTCACATAAAGGGAAACTCCCCTTTCTAGTCTTCTTATCCAGTCCTTCTTAAAAGAGCCTTTTTCAAATTGTAAGTCTTACGTGTTTTTTGCTGTGCATATAGCATAGCTCTACATACTACTAATTTGATTCTCTTAGCTTTGGGACCAAACTGTGTATTTCTATTCTGAGTGCTTACACAGTCTACAGAGTGGAATTTTGTGACAGCTCATAGAAATTTCTTTCCTTGTATCTCAGTTTTTCTTTGAAGACAATTTTAGAGCCCATGCACGAGAAGTAAAAGTTTCTGTTGGACCATGCTGCACCTAAAGAAAACTCTACCTTATCCCCCTAGTAATGTGGCAATAATTTCTAGGCAAATTGCAGATGTTTTGGGAATTTTTGCTATTTGATCATATTTTATTTTATTTAACAGCTTTTAGAGAAATGTCTCTGTTTAATCATTTGCAGTCAACAGGCTACAATGTTTGCTCCTTTATCTGCAACAACAAGAAAGGCTTTGCATCTGCTTCTAGTAAAATTATTTGCATCATATTCACAAAAGAACTCATTCCTCCTCAGGTTTGCTTTTTCTTGTTTAGATATTCCCACACCCCATCAACACATACACAATGTAGCTCAGTTTAGAATATATTTTATGCAACATCTTTGAGGATACTGCAAATATAGTTATGCCTTAACACAACTGGCATTATTTTCTATCTTCTATAGTAATAATCTTTCCCAGTTGAGCACAGCAGTGTGACAAAACACTGGACCTCCTTATGGTAGTTGTGAGAACTCTCCACCTACAGTGATACGTTTTGCTGTGAGTTTTCAATGAACTATCTTCTTTTTACATAGGTTACACATTGGTTTGGAATCATCAAGATAGTGCAGCTTTGTCAAAAACTCTGCCCTGTACCCTTCTAACTTTGTAACATTCTTAGTACAGCAAGAGTTAAAGCTAGGAATAATATTCAAGAGCTTGTCAGTCTAAAATTTTGGGCTTGATATTTTTGCACTGTCGTCCCCTCTGAACAGTATAATATAAAATCCTATTTTTAAAAAGGTAGAGTTCTAGACATGTTCTGTAGATGCAAATCATTACACAAGCTGTTCAATGATGAAGTATTAAACACTGTTGTCTCAGAGAATCAGTAGTCAGCCTTGGTAAAAGACAGTTTGCTTATATCCCTTTCTGAAATCAGTGTGGGGCCACATGAAAGATTTTTGACTATTTCACTTATCCTTCTGTGGAACAGATAATATTATCTGAATTTGTGAAGCACTGATAGTAAATACCTGATACCTCAGAAAAAAGCAACCAAACCAAAAAAAAGGCAAAAAGTGCATGTGCCACTAAAAATTGTTGAATCATTATATGATAGTATTATGAATAGGCACAGTTGCTACTGAAAAATCTTACCAGTGAAAGTCACAAAGATCAAAAGCTGGTGATAAATGTGACAATTTAAATGCAGAAATTTGCAAACAAACAAACTTCTTTTGAAAGGAACCTATTGTCACCAGGATTTTTTACCCTAACTTTGCTCCACTGTTATATTTATTTCTCTGTCTCAAAAACTGCAGTGTTGCGACAGATCTCTCTTTTTCATGTATTGTCTAAATCAAATGGCTCCCAGAAGCAGAATATTCTATTATCAGCTTGAGCTAAAGTGATACAGATGGATATTTCATTTTAAGTTTCATACTTCACATGTGCAGCCATTCTATGATAATGAGAAGCCACAAATAAATGACTATTGAATTTTTGTTTTGTCGAACTACAAAGCTGAATAGGACAAATATATCCTAGCCTTGATTCCTCTGATTAAATAAAGTAGATAAATATTTAATTTTTCAATTATACATATGGTCAAACTCTCTAATCATGCCCTTTTATGCATATAGACCCATGTAGGTAGTCTGGTTTTCCTAACAACTTAGGAAACATTCTAACACCTTGTATATTAGTTACTACATTCACCTCATATAACAATACTATGAAAATATAGGTTTATTTTGTCTATAATTTATAGTTTGTCATATTTCTGTATGTACTTCCTTATGTATTGTTTGACACACATGCCAGGAAGAAGAAAGGTAAACAACTCCAGCTTGTCAGCTATCTGGGTCACCATATTGTTATGAATAAGAAAGCTGTTGCCGCTACCATGTCTCTTTATGAGCTTCTGAAAGTTAATTTCATAATGATATAATTTGTGTGGGGCACAGATGTTCACCTCTAATTACTCTTAAGAAGAACATAAATATTTTGTTAGAGAACTCTACATCAGTCTGTCTATAAATCAAATCTAGACATTAAATACAAAATTAACTGCAGGGAGAACTCTTTAGCAGGTCACAGTAAATTTGGGGTTGAAATATTTTCTTGGCTAACTAGGTTGTAGTTCCACTGACCTTAAGGAGCATTTCCCAAGCATCATTCTGTTTTACTGCCTTTAATAAAGAGATTCCTTGACCCATATCTGAAAACATTTATCATAAGTCTTATTCATATGAAGCACGTTTTATTTATCAGTGTCGAGCAGAGCAGATGTTATTTTTATAATCTGTTGATGGATTTTATTTTTGTCTCAGAAAACACATATAAAATTATGTCTTTGGGTTAGAACTTTGGATTAGTCAGTAGATATGAAAATAGTGGTACAGCAGGAGGTTTACATATCCAGAAATACAAAGGTAAGGCTGCATTTTAAAAAAGTCTGAAAGTAACCAGATAAAGGAATGAACAGGTCAAGCCCATTAAGAAAAAAACAAACCGAGAAAAGTTATCTGAAAGCCTGTGCTTATGGGATAAATACAGGGGATTAGAGTAAACATATGATAAATACTAGTTAGATTAAAAAGAATCTGATTTCTTTTAAAGTCAACAAGTTCTTTCTTTTGGCCAACGAGTTTAGGAAGTCTATCATGTTGCGACAAGGCGTGAAAGTACACTCCAACCAACAGAAACTTTTAATATCTTTGAGAGTGTCTAATTTTAAAAATTTTGTTAATTCATTATTGATTTATTTTTATCTACTCAAAAACAATTCACACATTGAAGGAGGAGGTTTAAATTGGTAGAAATAAATGCTGCCCATGAGATAAGATAAAGACAGAGAGGGTATTACACATTAAAAATGTAATTTGCTGAAAAATGAAAATCATGTTTAATTATGGATATGGCCAGAGAATCCATGTATGTCAATTACATAAATGATCTAATATAATGATCTAGTGATCCTATTTTTATGCATTTTAACCATTTGATCCAAATTCATTACTATATTATTTGTATAATTGGTAATAAATTGGATCTTACCATTATTCCTAAAAAAACCAAACAAACATAAAAACAAACAAAAAAACTACAGAAAAGAAAACATTACAAAAGTTTCTAAAGTTTTACACATTTAATTTCAAAGACCTGAAGACCTGTCTCAAGACAAAAAAGTATTTCAAGAAGGGAACTTCAATCAATTTAATTAATTACCCATTAGCAAACTTTTGGTTTCCAATTCTGAAAAATAAATACAAATCAAGTAAATAAGTATCTGAAAAACACCTTTCCTTCACTAATTGGGACACTAATTCCTGGTGTCCCATGTTATACCCAGTTGCTTTGGTGTGGGGCAGTGCAGAAGTTAGAGCTCGGTGCAGGTTCTGCTCTGTTGCTGGGATGTGGGTTCCTCCATCAGCTGCAGTCCCTTTGCAGTCATACTTCCTCCTCAGCCTCCTCACTGCCTGTTCTGGGGTGGCTGCTTTTCCTCCTGCCCTGATCGGGGTACCCATTTTGCTCTTCTTCAATATTTCTTTTCTCTGGTGTCCCTCCTACCTTGACAACTCTCTTGTATCTCTGCCTGTGTGTCTCCCTCTGCAAAACTGTGTCTACGTTTCTTGAAGAATCAAATCTGAATAAATATTATCTTATTCGGTAAAAGCAGTTCAGTATTTTTAAATTATAAATGAGAATGGAGCCTCAAAAACACCTGGGCATCTGTCCAAACATACATAACTTTAACTACATATTGAAATTATCCTAAACCTAGGGAATTCCACATCCTAAACCATTTGAAAGGTTACTGTGGCCAGGTGTCATGAATTGGCACAGGAATAAGGAGAAGAGCATGGACAGCCTCCAAGCAGGAATGTTAATGAGAGAAGTGAATAGAAACCAGCCTGGAGGACAAATGTCATGACATTTGTGAAAAGAACATCACACCACAATGAGGTGCCTAAAATCATGTTTTATGAATATGAAAGGAAAACACAAAGTTAAGAAGTGTAAATAAGAAAACAGTAAGCTGATTCTAAATAAGTCTTGTTTAAAAGTGATAGCACACAAGAATTATTTCTATACTTGCCTTATCTATTTGCCTTACATTTTCATCTCTGGATGACTTTCAAAACTCAGGCTTTGGTGGCCCAAGGTCAGGTACCAAAGAGATGGACAGATGCAAAACTAAAAAGTGAATACTGCTTTGAAATCTGAGACTGCTCAAAGTGCCTTGAATAACTTCCCTTTTGTTTTAATATAATTTACATACCTGCATTTCTGTAATTAGGATGCTCAGAAACTTTGTTTTTTCTTTGTTTTTTTTTCTCTTTCTTTTTTTTTTTTAATTACAAAATTCTGCACATACCTTTTTTTTTTGTGTTTTGTTTCAGAGTTAAAATATTGAAACTTTAAAGTTAGTATCTGGTCAACTATTTTACCTCTTTTTGTATTCACTATTGTCCCTGCTATTGCAATCCTGTGCTTTAAATGAAGTAGATCTCAGAGAAAACCAGAAAAAAACAGAGTGACTTTTTAGTTGAAGATAAAAAAATAATTTAATTCTAAAATTGCCATAATTTTAAACTGAATAGTTTTATGACTTTTTTTTGTCATCTAAAATTGCTTTTGCAGTCCCCTTAAATTCCAGCAATTTTCTAGGAGACTATAGCTCTAGTCAAAAAGACATCTTCCACTATTTTTTAACATTCACTAACAAAGTTCATTTTTCTCAAGAAGAGCTAACTAAAAAGGCTGACCAATGACAATTTTTGTAGATTTAAGTTGCTAAAAATATAAGAAGTTCCTGAGTGATTTGTGGAGATTTTTTATTGTATTTAAGAGCCTATTGGCTCAAAACAGCCAGGAAAAAACTCAATCATTAAATTCATGGAATGAAATTTTTCCTAGAATAACAGACATTATGACAGATATTATTATCTTGTGCTATAATTTTATTTCAGTAAAGTAAGTGGGGACAAACAACTTTCTCCTAGCTCAAAATTTACAGTGAAAAATCAGAAAAACGTTTTCTGTGTTGTTAAACTGATATTTTTCTCAACATAACAAATATTTTTACACACATATTTAATTTGAAGATTTTTTGCACAGAGTAAAGATATTAAATATACTTTCTTACCAAGACATGAGCACAGGACAGAGCCTGCTAGCAGCCACTGCCTGGAGCAAAGTGCTGTCACAAACTCCAAGGCTTTGATGTGCTCTGAAAGGGTGGAAAGCATAAGGCAGAGTGTGAGCGGTGGGGATGGAAGGGAGCAACTGAGTCCCACACTTGTTTCTATGTTAGTCAGCAGAACAGAGAATGACAGGGTGTTAGGGGAATGCGTTATCTAACCTTTCAAAAGGAGTCACAGCAATTGCTTTCACATATGTTCCTTAGCTCCTCTGAGGATTTACCCTTGTCTTGGATGTGGAATGATTACTATTCACTCCCAGCATAGGCCCCTACTTGTAAAAGCCAGGCTAGACTTCAGAGGAAAGAGCAAGAAAAGAATAGCACTTCTTTCTAAAGTGCCTTGTACCAGTTTATTGTAGGCACTCCAAGTCTTTCTCCACAGTTGCCAGCCACATTCTTAGAGCTTAAAATAGTTTTTATTCAGAATCCCTGATGTTACGGGCTGATGGATTTCAGCTGTTAAAAAAAAAAAAGAAAAAAAAAAACAACAACAACAACAGAAAAACCTGAAAAGAAACAACAAAACCAAAGAAACCTGCTTTGTTTCCTGCTGTCCTTGGAGTTTTCAAACTATAGATACTACTTTAACCTGCCTCTTTCAAGGACAAAATATTCCCTGCAAGTAATTCATTCACAGATGGGGGACAGGCTAAGAAACAACATGACACACCGTGTGAATAAGAAACCTCAGATTAAAATAACCAGCTTACTCAAAGAAATAGCTGACACTAGTAGGACCTGATTAATATGACAATCATTCTCTTCTGCTTCTTTTAGTATTATATTTCCTTTAGAGTTATATGCTACTAGCTAGTACTGGAGTAATAGTTCAATTTCCTTGAAGAATGGGAGAAGGGCTAGAGAGAAACAAGGTTTCCATCTCTGGAGATGGAGCATGCCAGACTTTTCTTGGTTTATAATTAGTTCAAAATGAGCAATGCCACGAATATTGCAGTTGTTGTCAATAGTGCATGGTAGTTGTGATCAATAATGACTAGAATGTAGGAGGGCTTTCTGGGGGTTTTGTTCTTGGAGGTTTCTACCTTGGAATAATGTTCTGACACTCAGAAAATGCAGTTTTGCTCAGAGCCAAATACAGGCCACACCTAAGGTTTTAGTAACTGCTAAAGTACGTGTCTGATTGTTATAACTTAAAAGGGTGTAAGCTAATAGTGTGACTCCTGTGAATTACTACATTTTCCTCATGAAGGACGCGCTGCTCCCAAGCTGTCTGGATGCATGATCTTTTCATATGGCAGTATTTTGATGAGTGGCATTTGGGGAATCCAATTCTCTGTGTCTACTGGCATAACACCAGGTGTCTCTCAGCTGTCTCTGAGACATCTCTCGAGGCATTGTTAGATGTAAAACTGCAGTGTGACCTTGGTTTAGGTTTACTGGGAACTTTGCGGATCTGAGAGAGAAGTTTTGAAAAGGTGCATAGGTTTCAACAGAACAAGAATGGAAAGTGCTAAAAGAAATGACTGCAGGGATGCAGATTATTAGTGACTCTAAGAATCTTAAAAGTAAATATTTAAATGAAAAGGTTTTAAATCTAAAGAATAAAGAAGGGAACTGGAAGGTAACAACTCAGTTTCACAGTTAGTGTTAGACAATAGTTTGGAAAAGCTTAAAGTATTAAAGCCTAGACTTAAATTATTTGGGTAATTTCCTGGATATCCATTTACATCTAGCCAAACTTGCACTATTTAAGTCTTCTGACAAAAATGAAGCAGCACAAAAAAGGGAAAGTCCCTTAATTTTTCAGAGGCTCTTTTCCTATTTAATTGTTAAAAGTATTTTCTAAAATATTCAGGAAGATATCCCATACTATTAACCATGTATACAATCTTGTTAGAACTCCAAGCTAGAGATTTGCCTATGACATGTAAATTTCCAGAGATCTATCATGAAAGACAAAGGGTTTTATAAGAATTAAAGAGGGAGAATGTTTTCTGCAAAATAATGTCTGGTCATGGCACTATACACAATTATCAATTAAGTTCCATCTTACCTGTATGTATACAGGTCACTTGTTCTTTAAAAAAAAATAAAAGTTCTTAAAGCTTGTACTAATAAAAGTTTTTATACATCAAGCATTTTCATAAATCAAATGCCATGAGGTATTCAGATTTCTCTAAAACTTTCACTGGCCACTTGGAATTTGCTTGTAGGTTGAATTTGTGATATACTTTAACCTTGAATTTTGAACATTTACCCGTCTGCTCAGAGGATGTTTAAAGTTTCCAAACATCAAGAAATTCTGGGCATACAAAGAATGCAACTCCATGTAGCATATGGAAAAAGTCTGATGCAGATGCACTTTAATAAATTTGCCTTGAAGATACCCTATATATTTTTGGCAAATAATATACAAATACTTATGCATTAGGTTTTTGTTTATGTGAAAGCATTCTAAGTAGCATATATACAGGAGATATACAAAACCTGTAACAGAATGAATTTATTATCCATGAGTTATAGGGGATATTTTATCTGAGAACTGACAGAAATCTGTAATCCATGAACAGAACTTAAAAAGTGATTTTAAAGGACAAAAGGATGATGTGTGTTATTTTGTTTAAAACAAAATGTTTAAAAAATTGAACTACTTTAATCTTATGCTAGTAAAATTTACAAAAACAAAAAACATCTCCCCTCACACTTATAGAAACCCTCCAAAACTGTGCAGGCTCTTACAGGTCAAAACTAAATCACAGCATATATTAGGCAAAAGAATACACATAAGAAAATGTGTATCCTCCAAATACCACAGGCTGCAAACACAAATATTTTATTTTTATGAGTTTTACCATGGGTCTTGAGTACAATTTCACAGTCATTCTTCTTAAACTTGCATATTTCTCTGAATTTTCCAAGTTAATCACTGATATGTTGCATCCTTCTTCATCCATTTACTGCTGAAAATCAAGTTACTTTTTTTTTAGAGTGAATACTTAACAATGTAGAGCAATAAAAATACTTTTTATTATTGGAATAAGAACTTTTTATTGGATTCATTTAATGTGTGTGGGGAAAAAAATAAGATTTTACTCCTTGATTATGATGGCTCATGGGGGAGTAAGTGAACCTTGATTTGCTTGCAATCCAATATGTTTAAGCTGTAAAAAATTGTAATTAAAAATGTATGCATATAAACTATTTTAGATTTGCTTTGTGTCTTTGGGAAATTATCCACAATGCAAACCAGTGCATTTCGTATTTTATCCCATCTATGCTCCTCAGTGACTCGTAGGTATCAGGGATATCTGTGATGAGCACCATGGGGAAAAAATCTGAATATAAGTGTGTTCTCTGAAGCATATCTCTGGCATAGATAGACCATTTCTCAGCAAGTTAATGCTACAGATATACTCGATTAGTTCCCTTACTCCTCTGGGAAAAGTTATAATGAGTATTGGCACCAATGGGAAAAAAAAACCAGGAACATCTGTTTGAATCTTAAGATACTTGTTGATAGAGATAGAAAAACATCAGTATTTATTTTTTCTCAAGAATACAGAAGATTATTTGTAGCAACAGAGGCTAGAAATTACCTCTGCAATGCATTTTTTCTACCCCATTTATACCATTGGATTTGAAAACTAAGTGGTTTATAATGGTTCAGTCTGCATTACATGCGTAACTGCTTCCTTTATATTATTTTAAAACGTATGCAATTTTTATTAGTTTTTATCTTTATAAGCTTCCTTTTTTTTCGGTGTTATATTTTCTTCATCAAACTTCTACTTCTACTTCTGAACTTTTATTTCCTCATGATTTAAGTATTTCTTTTAAATGCTCCTTCACCATGAAATTATTATTCCTCTATTCTCAAAAACAATGTTGCTATTCAGTATGTAAAAATACAAAGACATGAAAACTAAGTTTATTTACCTTTCACCTGCAGCTCAGTAATTTATATTTACATAACCTCTCTGTATTAAGCCTCACTTAGAGAACTAAGAAAACGTAATATAAAAGATGTTTATCTATTTTCCCTCAGATTTTATGTAAAACCAAATGGAAAAAATGGGCACCAAAGGATACCAAACAGACCTACTGTCTGACTTATTTAACTGATGAAAGAAATACTGTTTTCTCTTAATGGGAGATTATTGGATATGTTTTCCATGCTTTTCAGCTAGTAACAAAGCATGACTTTTTTTTCCTTCCACAAAAATATTTGATAGATGATGTTGCACATCAGAGAAAATTAATACTGGTCACAAGTAGAGTATTGTGTACACCTTTATTTCGGAGAAAAAATCTGAAGTCCATTTCACCCTAGTGTATCTTTGTCTTTTGAAAGTTTTCTTTGGATCTAGCATCTTCAAACACACATTTGAAAACAACAGTGGAATGGTATTTATTGTTTCTGTTAATAATGAGCTGAGAAAACCTTTATTCAGCTTTACAGAATAAATAAATAAAATTCTTCATTATATCACCAGGAAACTATGCAGAAAATGGTAAAGAAACTATGTCTAACACTATATATCTGTTTTACTTATTTTTTTTGTTACAAGTCAGTAAAAAAATCAAGAACTACCAAATAAGGGAATTACCTTCATCTTTCAGTGATTTAATGTTCATGTTTATTTCAAGAGATTTATCTAGCAAGTGAAAGGGGAGATTCATGAAAGGAACCCCACACTAAGGCTCATATATTAAATTGCTGTTACCAATTGCTTCTAGAACTGTTCAGCCTAATTTAAACAGAAACTTAGGATAAAAATAAAATAAGTTCTTGAATAAAAACACTAGAACTGATTGTTTGTTGTCTTTTCTTTGATATTCAGATCTTACTGATTGCCTTTTCAGTGTGACTTTTATTGAAGTCTAGAGGAAGATTCCTTTAGGAATTGCTTTTACTGAATAAGATTAAAAGTTTTTGATGAAAAAAAAAAGCTGTTGCATTTCTTCTTAGTTTTCTTTCCTCCCCTTGTCTCCCCAAGAATTGTTTGAAATTTTTATTCCAGTTGAAAATACTCAACATTACTATTTAGGAAATGAGAATTTACTTATATGGCTTCTGAAGTTCTTTGCATATAGGAGAAATGTGTATATTTTCCTCACAGGATCATAGAACCATAGAACAGTTTGGCATGGAAAGGACCTTTAAGGATCCCCTGCAAAAGCAGGGACATTTCAACTGGATAAAGTTGCTCAGAGCCTTGTCCAATCTGACCTTGAATATGTCCAGGGATGAGGCACCTACTACCTCTCCAGGCAACATGTTCCTTTGTTTTCACCAACATAATTGTAAAAACTTTTTCTTATATCTGCTCTGAACTGACCCTCCTTTGGTTTAATACCATTTCTCTCTGTCCTGTCACAAAAAAGACTTAAAAAGTCAGCCTTTTTTCACATATGGACAGTGAAAAAAGGGTGACTTTGAAAATGGGCACAAATTCATTTTCAATAGATATCTATATGTGCACTCTAAAGAGGAAAAGTGATTTTTTG